TCTCAATGAAGAAAAAATAATTTTCACGATTTTTGTTTTCATTTTTCACCCAAAAATTACGAGCTTCCACGCGGGTTTTCGGGGCGCCCGACTCATAATTATGCAAATCGCTTTTTTATGCGCGTGCATCGCAAACTGCACACACACACACACAGACACACTGGCACGAGAAATTGTCCGTCGCGAGTTTCGATAATTCGATAAACGCCTCCGCGCGCCCGAAAGCTCCCCGCCGGAGAGAGGCGCGATGATGCGAGCGCAAGGATGCGCGCCGGGCGTTTCGGAGTCGTAATTCATGTTAATCTGAAATTTATGAATCGTTAACGTTTCGAAGACGCTGAACGAGACGACGACTCCGAAGACCTTTCCGAGCGCGCAGCTCTCGCAAGAAACAAGCGAATTACAAAACGAGATATCTACGGTATGGTATATGCAAGTGTGTGCCTAGGCGCAATGGCAACGTCGCAATTGGTGAGCGCTAGTTCGCATGCGCAGACGACTTTTTTGTTATTCAAATCGACGGAAAATGAGTGGCGAAGACGAGTTATGCGCTTTTGTGCACGTTTTTGGCCGTAACTTTTGATTTATTCGTGGTGGGTTATTTCTGTTTGAGCTTTCGGACGGTCAAGTAAATTGGCTTTGATTTGATGTATTATTTATGACCGAATTCGAACGCGCAGCTTTTCAAAATCGATGATAAAGCTCGAAATTTATATGAGAAAAAGTCGTGTTTAATGTTTCACCATGTTTAAATGGTAATTAAATGACGAAAGCAATAAATAATTGCAAAAATTTAAAGAGCTATAGAAAGGTAATTTAATTGTTATTATAAAGATGTTGACATTATCCTTATACAGAGTGTTTCTTAGAAGTTACAATCAATTTAATGAAAAAAATCAAAATTTTAAACAAAAATTTATTAATAATTATTGTTTTTAACTGGGTTATTATTAAATTAGAATAATAATAATTTGTTACTAAGTGTATAATCAAATTACCTAAGCTGTCATAAAAAATTATTTTTATACAAAGTGTTTCCAAAAAGTTACAAACAAAAAACTAAAATTTTTTTATTAAATTTTTAATGTTAATTTTGAACCACTTATAATAAACATAAATAAACAAATTATACATCATCTGAAAGCCGGTTTAACACCCATTCCAAAACACTCAGTATAACTTTGCTACCTCTAATAAATCAAAAGTTACAGATGAAAATGTAAAGTATTACACTGAAATTTTTGCAAAATTTTCGAAAAATTATGATTAAATCGCGAATATTCGTTTGTGCAGCCGTCGTGCCGGCGGATGCAGCACGGCGTGAGTGACGTGCCATGCCCGCTTGGGCATGCCATGCGGGCCCCGTAAACAAGCCGAAGCGAGCAACTTTAACTCCAAAGAGTCTTCGTGGCTGCTCCTCGTGTACATACACCAAAGTGAGCCAAAGACTAAAAGTCTCACCGAGCAACCAACACACGCTCCGGCCTCCACCGCGCATGAACGATGGCACGACGGGCACGACGTAATGACACTTGGAAGTCGGACGCGAGTGCAGCAGGAGCAGAAGGAAACTTTCCCAAGAATCAAGAATTTATTTGATATTTATGCCACGAGGTGCATGCACTTCTTACATCGTGTAAATTTTTATCCTTTTTCAAACCTAAATTTCCTCCCTTTAGTGTAACCAGTGACGTCACACATGACCACGTCGAGTAAACGGCGGCGTTTAAAATAATTTAAAATAATCGCCCCGCCGATTGTTTTCCTGCGCGCTGCGTTATTTGTATTACTTGTGTCGAGTTTAATTTGACTTCCTAGAAGTGTGCGCTTTCGAGACCATGATGGCGCCCCTTTCTTGGGCAATTATTATATTAAACGTCCATGCGTCGTTTACGTTTTTCTCCGGCTTTCGCATCCACAAAGCACGAATGCAAATCGCATGAAATTGGATGTTTTTCGTTCGTTTCGGAAAATTCGAAAATCTTATTTCATGCTCAAAACTCGCATGTGAGAAATACTTGATATTGAGAACAAGGTGCGGTGTGTGTGCGTGTGGTGCGGCTGTGAATTGCAGTGAGTAGTCTAATCTAAAATGCAATATAATAAGCATTTACGGGAGAATGTATTCTGAGTCATTGTTTAGACTAAAGCGCGCAAAAGTTCGTCGTCGTATTGTGTTGGCATCGACGTTGAATCACTCAAAAATCGCTCAACTTTAACACTCATTTCGAACGCGTCGTAATAAAAATGGTAATGTTTTCTTTCGTCTCGTGTGTGTTGCCCGTTTTATGGGCTGCAAATTACTTTTTACACTTAGAGAAATACATAATTTGTTTGCGAGTTATTGCCAGATTTTCAGAGACAAAACAAAAATTAAAAAATAAATGCAAAAAAAAAAATGCGCTGAAGAAAAATTAGACATGGTAATTATGGTTGGAATGGAACTAAATTTTATATTATGCATTATGTTGAGAGCATAAATGTTAAGGTTATCTTAATTAGTTTTGAAATTGCCAGCAATATGAAGAATATTGACTTTGATGTAATAATATAAATTAAATTTTGCTCAATCTTTGAAAATCTAATTTTCCTTAGTTATTGGCTTGAATTTTAATAAATTTTAAGTGGAAAATCAAAATGTCAAGCAAAAAAACTGATTTCACACATAATTTTCACATGAAAACTCATTATAACTTGTCAATTAAAAATGTAATCACCTATCTAACCTTGTATTCAATTATTTTCTGCACGAATTCATCCCACTATAATAATAATTTAAACTTCAGATATTAAATTCAAACAATAGAATAAAATATAGTAAAATACTCGTAAAAAATAGGCGTGCAGCATTCGAAAATGTCAAAAATCAGCGACTGCATGCTCCGAAATGGTCAATGAATTCGCAAAAGGTTACTGGACATTGCTGCCATTCGACTGTCGGAATATAAAGTTCACGCCACGCACCAGCAGAGTAACAATGTGAAAGTTCACGTCGAAAAATTCGGCCGCAATTATTTTTCGGGTTATTGTTGTCCACATACCAGGTGTGGGAGTAAATAAAAAGTGATTATTAATATCACAAGTGCAGACAGTTGCTAATCAATTGTTGATTAAATATTCGACGCCCACGCCCAAACCGCACGAATATTTTCGCCGATATTTCCATAATTAATCGCGGAATTTAATTTCGATGGGAATTCCAGCGGTTTCCATCGCAAACTTTTATTATTTTTGTTTGTTTTTACGATTTACAAACAAAATTTAAAAAATATTGGTTTGAGTTGCTGTACAAGTGTCGAACACACAAAACTAGTGTTTTTATCATAACTTTTTATACTTTTGATGATAATTAAATTAATAACACACACAGAAATTTTTTTGCGGTGAAAACATGCACAATAACCCTTGAGGCTTCTTCCAATTCACGAATTTCACTTCAACCGATGCCGATTGTATGCGATTCGCTTAATAACAGGTTGAAAATCGAAGATATTCGAAAATTATCGCATTAAAATACGAACAACGAATGATATTAAACATTATCGCTACCTGAAGATGCTTTTGGTAAAAACAGAACCTACAAAAGGATGAAATTGGCTAAAAATTGCTGAAGCTGTATGCAAATTAAAGAATTTTGAAGGTTTTTAATGTTTTAAGGTTATGTTTAGTCAAACACGCGAGCAATTCGTGTTCGGGATGAATTTAGGATCATTTTCTGATCAATTTTCTATCGCCCGCGGGCGTTCACAGCGCAATAATCGAAGAATTTGTGAGATTTTTGGTAGAAATGTGCGTGTTTCTGATGATTCAAAAATCAAAATGCACGCCGTTGTTGTTTCACTTGTTCTTACACGTTTCGTAAACAAGTTCTACTATTTCTCTATCGCTTATTTTCTTATCTCAATTTGTGTTAGTAAATAAGTGTCGAAAAATCAGGCAAATTTGTGTTTTGTTCGAGTTTTTAATTAATTACTCTTAAACTAAATGAGACAAAAACATTATTTCTTCATTAATATATTCTCTAATAAATTCTAAACCTAATATTTAACAAAAATTGTTGACAGCAATAATGTATCAAAAGTTACAGTCAAGTAAAGTCAGAAAAAACATTAAAAAAACAAAATTCTTATTTAATTTCGCGACTACAGCCAGATAAAAATAACATTAATCAAGAAATAATTTGTATAATTAGATAGAGTATTTAATTAAGAATTTGTTTTTGCAACAATCATTATTCTAACTAATTTCGTTTTAAAGTTATTCATAAAAACTTGAGATAATTTACTATATCTAGCATATGTTAATGTTAATAGATTAATGTTTTGTCTCAGTTATTAATTAATTATTCACAAACGAGACTAGATACACTAATAATTCTTTCAGCACAGGATACTATAACACATTTTACATCTAATGAGCAAAGATGGTAAAGATAGCATAAGTGGAAAAAAAGTTACAGGCTCGCAAAGTTGAATTTACGAAAAAAAACTCCTTTTTTGTTTTGTTTTCTTGTGATAACTAGTTATAGAAAACAATTATCAGAATATATGAAAGCCAAACCAGATAGAGAATTAATTTATGCATAATTAATTTTTAAAACAATTTTGGTTTCTTACTTAGTAACAAAAACACAATACAATTAAGATTCTGCGCGGTTAATACCTAACTGTGTTCTGTCAAAGTTTTTTGTGAATTAATCGCGTACAGAATGACCTACAATGATGATTCTTTCAAAAAACATTTCTAAAATATATTGCGCATTAACTGTTTAATTATTTTAGGTATCACAATGTTGGAAAACAAGTTACAAAGCCGTAAACTAAGATAATGTTACAAAAAACTTGAAATTTTCAGTTTTTTGGTGTATATCTCGGAATAAAACATTGTTATCATTAAAATTTTACCTTAATTATATGAAGAATTAAATTCTGGTTCATTTAGTGAAAAAATCACGATTGTAACTTTAATAGTTTTCGAGTAATGATGAAATTAGTACTTACATGCTATTCGTTGTATTCCAATGCACGTGCACGGACTTGGAGCACGTGGACTCGGTGCACAGCAGGACGGTCTCCAGGCAGATGAGCAGGACGACTGTGAGGCAGGACGTGGCTTTAAATCCAGGTAAGAGCAGCCCGCAGCGTCGCGCCGCCACAGCCATTTTACAACAGAAACAAAAACCGAGAGCGCCGTGCAGACGAACCAAACAACAAACAACAAACTAACGAACCAAACACAACAATCAGTCCGTCGACATGCGCATACTTCCGATCGTGCGCCGCCGTTGTGATCTACGACACGAACCGATCACTGCTGCGTCGTTGCCGTCCGAAACCAAAAAATGGTGCACTGAACTATAACACACTTTTCCGGGGCCGAAGAGATGTTGATGGTCACGATGCGACGGACGACGGACGGAATGCGACGAGTCTCACGCGTCTTCACAGCGATGCTCGTAAACGACGTGCTACAACGACAGCCAACCGCGATCTGAGCGCTGAGCGAACTGCACGCGACCGGCGAGAAGTTCGCTCCGCGCGAGCGTCGAACTTACGCGAACTCGCACGAAGTGACTCGCTATTAGTAAGAGTGCGCTAGTAATATACACTTTGTATGAGAAGAAGAGAGAAAACAGACAAGTAAAGCAGGTAAACAAGTTAGCACGGATTCCAACCACGTGATCGCGCGCTCGCAACACGCTTCCAGCGAAAAACGGCCGGAATGTGCGAGACCAGCGCGAGAACAATCGAATAGTTTAGCGGCGCTTTTTTTCCTTCTGCGACGACAACGACGACGACCAGCGACAAGTCGGAGAGATTTCCGCGCAAAAAATGAACAGCATAACGATACATTTCAACTGATTTCACGTAAGCATAAAAAATAACATTAAATTGGTTTGCATCTTTGCTAAAATCAAGAGGTTATGTTTTATTATTACCGACAGTTGGTTTTATTCAGGAAAATTCGTAAGTATTTTTTATTATTTTAGTAGTTTACAATGATTTTTAACATTTTAAGTATTTACCAGTGCGTTTAGTAAACATTTCTTGATGTTCAGGTAAAAATAAACCCAAAATATGATCTATTCTTGTGTCGGCGATCGTCTATTGTTATTTATTGCCGGGTAAAATGTTTTGAAAGCTTCTGTGGGTGAGTAACGTGAGCTTTTGAGCTTAATGACACTGAAATAAATGCAAAACTGTGTAAATTCACTCAAAAACGATATTAATAGCCGATAATTGAGGTTAGAATAACCTAGAAGTAGTAAAACGAGTTTTTATTGATTTGCCGAATCGGCCAGTGATCAGCAGACGCTTTGCGTTAAACGTTTCGAGCGTATTTAATGGCCGTGGCCGCAACCGTCGTAACAATAACGCACCGCCGATCGTCTTTTGTTTCGCCGGCGGCGCGCGCTTTTTTGCGATTGCGCGCGCGCTCCGCGAACAATAATCGCGACAAAGGATCGAAATGCCAATGGGCGCGCATTTCGTCCATGTCGCACCGGCGTAGTTATGCTTTTTGTGCAGGTTATGTTGATGTTGATGTTGGAGGTTATGCGGCGCGCAGCGTGGCGCATTTTTGCGCGCCGCCGAGATTGAAGCGCGTCGCCAGATTCCGCCGCGCCGAATATCTTGATAATAACCGCAGGACCAGGACGACCGCCATTAATTAGTCGTTGAAGGCATCTGTGAGCTTTTACACGCCAACCTCACTCAACTTAACCCTTTATTACTCAAAATAAACCAAAACTTGAAAAATAATAATTTTACTTTTTATTCACAGATGGCGCTAGTTTTCTATCACCACATTACAGATTTTTACAGTTTTCTGTAATTTTGAAGGTTATATTATTATGGTATACAGTTGTGGTTAGTGTTTGGAGGTTAAGAATCTTGGTGCGAGTATTGTTGCGCGCTTTCACGCGTCTTGTGCATGTGTGCGTTTGGGTTTTTTTTTGTGTTGGCATCTTGTGCGATGTGCGTAAGCTCGGCCGGTGCATTACGCGGCGCGCGGATGGCTATCGATATGTTGCGCGAGATGCGCGATGTGGGTACGCGATGTGAGCCAGCGAACCCCAAAGGGTTTCAATATGGAGGACCGTATATGGAATAACGGAAATCTCCGAGCGATGGTTTTGCAGTTTCACACACACTCTCACACGCACGCAATGCAATGCACTGGCAGACGGCGAGTGAGATCTCATTGTCGAGATAAAGTGCACAATATTTTATACAGGGTGGTGGAATTGGATTAGGTAGGAAAAAGTGTTGAAATGTGGATTGTTTTGAAAAAAATTGGAATAATTTAGGTGTAATTGGAATTTTTGGTAGTCTAAAAGGTTCTAAACAAGTAATTACACCGAAAATCAATTAATTTAAGTAAAAAACAGGGAAAAATGGAATTTTTGATTAAAAAACGATTTTTAATCAATTTTTTCTCTTTTTAACATGCATAAGTAAGTATATTATTATTCAATTGTTTAAACAATAATTTTCAAACACACTAATTGTTCAAAAATGTTTTTTTGTTTCAGTAAACAAAGTTTTTATGTATTTTTTTTATATATTTCTTAATATCCATGCAGCATTAGCTAATACGCTATGTTCGGTAGCTGTACCGCAACTCAAACTATTGTCTTCTTAAAAAACAAGAATAAAATTAACCGTAAGTAAAGTAAAAATAACTTTTTACTACAAATAAATAGATAAGAGGTATAAATATCAACTATACAGGTAATATATCAAATAATAATTGTGACACTTTGTATAAACGACAATGTCGAGGTGTGAGACTTGTGTGCGAGTGCTTTGTCGCCAGACTCCGCGAGAAACGCGGATGAAAGCAAAACGCGCGGCTCACACAGGTATTACATTCATGACATGCGTTCATACAATTGTATATATACAGTGTGTTCATAAAAAACCAAAATAACTCCCAAATCATCAGTTTTCAACCAAAAAATAATTTTTTCACATTTTTAAAATGATTATAACTAAAATTATAATTATTTATAATAAAATGAGAACACTCTGTATATAAATAGGTAAAACTGTGAAAAGGTGACACATCCGACATCCGAATGGCAGCGCCATTATGGCTTGCACACGCATGAGCGCATAATTTACGCACTGAAAAACAAAAAATACCGCCACCCTTCAGTCTTGATCTTGAAGGGTTGTTTTATTTTTATTTATATTTTTATTTTTAATATTTTTATTTTTTCTTGTTAAGTACGAGTATTATGCATAGGTGTGCATATCAGCATAATTATTTAGTTGTTTTTCGTCGGCTGCGTAATTCTTGGAAGAAAAGTCTGCACTTCTAGTACTTCAAGGGCGGCTTACATACTTGTACACACATATACAAATAATATGTGTGTGTGTGTTTGTGTGTAGGCTGTGTATTGTCTCAGGCAAAGGAAACTAAAGAAGAAAACGAAAAAAAAAACGCACGGCAAAGAAATGTCAATGCGTGTGTGCGGACTTCATCAACTGCATCAACTACGCCAACAGTTTAAACAGAAGCGCACGGGAGCTTTGATGAATGGAGACGTGAAAGGTGTGAACTGTCAAGATTTGTCAACGGGAGTGCTCACACTGTTTTTTTGTAACGCAAACAAATTGCATTTTGTACTACACTAAGGTAAATTATTTATTTTTAAGGTTAAAATGGGGAAAAAAATTAAATTTTGAGGTTAGGTTTTAAATTTTTATTTAATTTAATTTAAATAATTATTATTTAGATTAAAATCAAATTATTTTCTTCTGGTGATATTTATTTTGGCTTTAAAACGTTAAAAATTAAAGAAATCGAGGATAGAAATCAATTTTTCTTGTTTTTAAATTTTAGTGCACAAAATATTTAATTTTTAAGTTAAATTTTGATCCAATTTAAATACTTAATGCATATTTCGATTAAAATCAAATAATTTCTTTTTTCCAGCATTTTTTCAACGTCTAAATTTCTTATCATCGACAATTATTGGCAGACGTTCAATGTCTTCTTGGAGTTCTTCGGTTTTCTCTCCTATAAAAAAAAAGAACTAGATTTGCTCCAGGAGCAAAAACGTTTTTTGGCAATAACCGCCAGACGCCCCACTCGTAAAATCTCATCAAACCACAAGCCAAACGAAGGAAAAAACAAACAAAAACGTTGTATAATAATAACGATAACATATTTTCCATCTTTCTAGCTTTCTAATCGTCGCAAAACGCTTCACAAGCTCGTGGAAACGATTTTGATATCAGATTTTCGATCGGCACCATCATTATCGTTATCGTAATAGTGAATATTTGCAGAGCTAAAGTGGGTTTTTAACAAATTAAATTTTCTATATTTTTTTCATCGTAAACATTCGCAATTTTATTAAAAAAATGGTAAAAATGCATTTAGCGCCCTCTAGGATTCAAATATGTACCTATAAATATGAAAACCACTATACAAACTTTCATCCCTTATTTAACACCCTGTATAACATAATTTTTGAAATTTTAGTAATTATTATCTTATTCTAGACCCAGACAAATCCAAAAAATCAAAAATCATCAAAATCTATCAAACCGTTCTTGAGTTATGAATGCTGTAACTAACATTTTTTTATTTTTATAAATTTCCGATGGTGTTGAAGAAATAAAATCCTCATCGCATGCGAAACGCACAGCCAACAAGGGTGGCGTCCCATTCCAGCTCATTACACCCTCGACATCTTCCACTGTTGTTTCTTATAAACATCTCATTCTTACAAAACTTAATCTTTATATAAAAGTACTCTCGCAATCTTTGTGCTCTTCGTGTTGTCGTGCCTTCGATCGAGGATCCGCTTCAGCTTCGATCTTTTACTTACTCTGCATCGATGACTTCGTGAGTCGATGCGCGCCGACGTGTATTTCACGAAGCACGCCACGAGCATAACCTACAACGCTGCCTTCCAAAGTCCACGCAACCCGCACGACACGAACACAAATATCGTATATCACGAGTTGATTTCTTCGCTTTACAGAAACATCAAATGTTTTTGTTTGTTTTGTATGGTTTTTAGTTAATGTTTTGTCAATATTGTGCGTGTGGGCGCGACGAGGCGTTAAGCATCCGAGAATATCGAATGAAGCGTTAATGAAGCGTTAATCATGTGTTAATAAGGTGTTAATCAAGTTTGTCTTGTAATATTTTGACAAGCTACAAGAGTCATGTTTAACACGCCATACAAATTTGATATATGTCAAAACTGTCAAAAAAATTTAATGGGAAATATTTTACACTCAATATTTTATCGCCCACGAATGTTAAATGGCTGTAAATGTTTGTGAAACTCATTGAATTTACTCATTCAAGCCCGCCTATTGTTCCGTACGTGTCGTGTTCGCGGGAAAACTTTGTTCCAAAAGGATGATAATTTTTGCGTGGAGACAATGCGCGCGAACACAACACCTGCGCGCGTGCGCAAAGAATTGAAAAACTATATTTGGCAAAGTTTCCACACTCGGAAGGGCAAAA